TGAGATCCGGATTTTCAACTCCAATGTGAAGTCAGTGCTACTCACCATAAATAGCATCTCAAACAAACTACATACCTTCATCAACAGCTAGCTGTCTTTGCTCAATACTCAAGATCAGATGGCTGGCCAGAAAAGATCAGCAACAAAGATCTCTGGGAGTGAACCAACCCAGCTGGAACCGATTGTGAAACAAATAAGGAGGAAGAAATGGAGATGGATTGGCCATACTCTGAGAAAACAAACCATCAAGTGACATCACTGGACAAGCCGTTGCTCGAGTGGAACCCGAAAGAGAAGCGTGGAGTCGGTCATCAGTGTAAGGGTGACTTGGAGGAGGTCATGTGAAGAGGAGATGAAAACGTGTGGGCAGACTTGGAGCCAGGTGAACACTGTAGCAGAGAACTGAACGTAATGTAGACGCACGGCTGAAGCCCTATGTTCCTCTAGGAATTAAAGGAGCAAATATGTCAACAAAGGCCAAGTATGTCACTCCGACATAATCAATTAACGAGGAAGTCAAATTAACTTAATATAAGATTGATCTCTGTATAGTTGTCTACATGAACTAAAAGGAATTTTGTTTCTTTTATCATATCCCGTTGACTGTTGATGGATTAAAAATGACTATAACACTATATTATTATTATTATATCCTTTAGTTCCTAGAGGAACATAGGGCTTCAGCTGTGCGTCTCCATTGCGTTCGGTTCTCTGCTAGAGTTTTCACCTAGCTCCAAGTCTGCCCATACGTTTTCATTTCCTCTTCACATGACCTCCTCCAAGTCACCCTCGCACTGACGACCAACTCGCCGCTTCCCTTTCGGCCGGGTTCCACTCGAGCAATGGCTTGTCTAGTGATGTCACTTGACGGTTTGTTTCATCAGAGTATGGCCAGCCAATCCATCTCCATTTCTTCCTGCCTATTTGTTTCACAATCGGTTCCTGCTGTGTTGGTTCGCTCATTGCCAGAGATCTCTGTTGCTGATCCTTTCCGGCCATCTGATCTTGAGTATTGAGCGAAGACATCTGTTAATGAAGGTCTATAGCTTGTTTGAGGTGCTCTTTGTGACCCGCCAAGTCTCTGATCCGTATAGTAGTACTGACTTCACATTGGAGTTGAAAATCCGGATCTCATTTTTGACACTGAATGCTGTTGACCTCTACACAGACTTGAGAGTAATGAAAGCTTGTCTTGCTTTCCCGATCCTTGCTTTGATATCCTCGTCAGTTCTGTCCGCCTGTAGTTGAAACAATGCTTCCCAAGTAGGTAAGGGAGGTTGTTTCTTTCAGGTTCCTTCCATTTATGCTGATTGTTGTCTGTTGTTTTTGCTGTGGCTGTTGGTGTTGGCCAGGAATCTTCATCACCTCTGTTTTCTCCATGTTGACCTGAAGTCCTTCCTATCTTTGATGCTTCTTCTGCCAACTTGTTGCTTTTCGCTTGCATATCTTCCAGTTTGTGGGAGAAATTAGACATATATCATCGGCGAAGTCCAGATCCTCCAAGTTTTCTCTGTGAGTCTATTTTATGCCTGTTTCCTCATTGCCCGCTGTCTGTCGCATTATCCAGTCTACTGCAATCAGGAAAATCATTGGTGATAGTAGGCAACCCTGTCTTACTCCTGTCTTCACTTCGAAGGATTCCTTGAGCTTCCCGTTGTGGATTACTTGGCATGCAGCATTGTCATACAACTGTTGGATGAGATGTATAAGTGTCGGTGGCACCCCGTAGTAGCGAAGTAGTTTCCAAATCACCTCTTGATCGACACTGTCGAATGCCTTTTCAAGGTCGATGAAGTTGAGATAGAGAGGTGACTGCCATTCCAGGCTTTGTTCAATGATGATCCGTAGTGTGGCGATTTGATCAATACATGACTTGTTTCTCCTGAATCCAGCCTGTTCCGGTCGAAGTTTTCATCCAGGGCTTGTTTGATCCTTTCCAGGATGATGCGGCTTAGTATTTTGCTTGGGATGGACAGGAGCATAATTCCGCGCCAGTTCTTGCATTGACTTAAGTCTCCTTTCTTTGGTAGTTTGAATAAGTATCCTTTCTTCCAATCCTCGGGTACTTTGCCTTCTTTCCACACCTTCTCCAGTAGTGGCGTCATCAAGTCCGCTGTTGTCTCTGGGTCCACTTTCAATGCCTCTGCTGGGATTCCATCTGGTCCTGCTGCTTTTCCAGCTTTCAGCATCTTGATTGCCTTCAGATAACACTACTAGTGATATGAATTTGTTTGAATTTGATAAAGCATACAGTATTGTTATACAGTAATATTTACTGATGACCAAGTTTCGAGAACAATTTACTGCTGTTCATAATCATATCAACTCATTCACACAACGTTTTGCTTCATTTATATACATGAGTAAAATTGGTTAGACATTTGAATAAAAATCAATGTAGGATAATGTACATTCAAAAATAATAATATGAGTGTTACTGAACAAATACAATCAGATAGGAAACAAGATGTTTTTGTAGTAGAAATAAGTAACTTGTTAGAATGTTATTATGTCTGAATTGATGAAATACATTTTAACATTACTTATTATTCTCTGATTTGACTGGTAGTAAAAATGTCTTCCATATCTCTGGTTTTCGCATTGATTCACTTCTATCGCATGTGTTTTGTTAAGACTCGATGAACCAGGATTCAGTAATCAAAACCTGTCTCTCTCCACCTACTTATATTACTTCTTAGAATTTTAACCCTCTCCCACCCTATTGTGTGGTTGTGTGTTAATGCATGCAGTGGAATTGCTGAGCTCTTTTCTAAATTACTTATCTTCATGGGACCAATCACTCTAACGTTAGCTAAATTCTTATGTTCTGATAATTTCACTACTCCTGATTTTATAGTTTGACTGGCCTATGTAGTTGACCTAACTCACAGTCATTGCAAGGTATTTTGTAAATTATAATATTTTGTTTAATTGAATCCACAGGGTCCTTTAGCTTACGGAGCCTGTCTTCGCTGAGTGAGTTTGTAGGTTTGAATACCACTTTAATTCTTGTTTTATTGAGAATCCAACGTAGGTAGAGTCTCAGGTATCTCCTCCTTATATGGGAAAACTGCAGATAACTTATATTCTTTCTTATTTATGTTATCATTATTAGTTTCACCTCATGAAGTGACAGAAGTGACTCAACGCAATTACCAGAGATATGGAAGATATTATTACCACCAGTCAGTCATATCAGAGGAGGATAATAAATAATCTTAAAATTCTATTTCAATTCACGTACATTATAACATTCTAACAAGTTACTTATTATGACTATAAAAACACTCGTCTTATTTCCCATCTGATTGTATTTGATGAATAACACTCATATTATTATTTCTGAATGTACATTATCCTAAATTGATTTTTATTTAAATGTGTTATCAATCCCACTCAGGTATATGAATGAAGAAAAAAGTTGTGTAAGTGAGAGACTTGATATGGTTATGCGTGGCAATAGTTTGTGCTCGAAACGTCGTCATCAGTTAATATTACTGTATAACACCGTGAATTATCAAAATAAAACCTTATACATAATGAAGTTATACTATACTACAGTGTTCAAGGTTTATGCTTATATCTGTATATCTCCTCTTTGATTTCTGAACTCTTCTGCTATGTCGTCACAGAGATCCCCACCTTCAGGGAAGAAAAAGAGAAGATAGATCAGGTCTCTAGTCGTTTCTTAGAATTTTTAACATTGTGATGAGATTTTCTCTCTGCCTACTCTATATAACAGGGAGACGAGATTCAAAAATGTCTTATTAAATTAGTTGCATCAAGAGTAATATGTTTAATTTTGCTCTAGGACCTTTCTAAAATATATGAGTTCCTCCTAAAACTACGGCTGACTGGATGCAGTCTTCTATTTTTGTACTGCCAAGGGATGTATACAAAGTAGTGAACATCTCACTGATGATTCTACTAAAAGCTCTGTGGATTACCTATAATGATATAAAACTTCAAGTAGTTAGCGTACGATAGGGTGACGCAGTTTTTAGGTTGTGACCTTTCTACGACACCTAAATCAGAGGCGGTCTGAAATGATAGGAGTGATATTTCCTTTATGTCATATGAGCTGACACTTCAATGCCACGTTCCACACACACTGGGTGGAAATATCACTGATAACATATTTTCATATTACCAAAAGACGTGAAACCACTCACACACCTCTATATTTGCATCTGATGTTAATTGATAACTCCATCTGATAAAACTGTCATAACTTCTTCTTTTACGAGATGATTAACTAACTCTAAGCGACTTTTATCTTGACAACAATACCCCGTGGAAGGAGAATCACTTAACTAACATGGAGTTTTGGGCATCTGTTATGGGCAAAAGTACAACTTGGAACATATTGATATTCAGTTAGAAGAAGTGCGATTAAAGCACACCAACAACTGAATATTCTTCGAGGTAATAGGGAAGTAGACAAGAATTTCAAGTGTCTGACATTATTAGGATCGGCTAACTTTAAGTAAACCAAAGAAGGAGAAAACACCTGCTTGAAGTCCAATCAAATAACACAATTATTCTAAAAATATTACGTGGATACCCTCCTGAAATTTTCACCTGTTTCAACATAAGAAGTTATTTAGTGGATGGTGAGTAGCAGTGTGAACACGATGCGCATTTCGTCCCATCTGGGACTCGCCATCTGGATGTACCTGCATTCCTCAGTGAGTGATGGTGCTTTCAGCGAGGCTGGAACCCAGCGCCCAAAGTTTTAAATTCCAGAGCGTTATCCACTAGGCCACTTGGGCCACGAGAGCCACCTCTTAAATTAAATAATTAATTTGACCCGTTGCACAGTAAATATTACTTACTGTATAACAACACTGTGTGTGACTTTATCAGAATAAAATCTTATCTATAATGGAATTATACTCTACCCCACCACAGTGTCCAAGTTTTATACCTTACATGAATAATACCAATGACTCTCTTTGCTTCTATTCTTTATGTGTTTGGTTTTTTCCCTCTAACTATAGGAAGAACCAATCAGAGGATTCGATTATGCGAAATATCTTTCATATATGTATGAATTAGATCAAAAGTATACTAAGCAACTGAAGAATATGAATGAATGTACCAGTGACGATGCTCAGAGCAATGAAGGAAAGATCTTCAAAAAATAAAGGAACTTATCATTGCATAATATACTGCTATTTGAAGCGAAGTTTTAGATGTGGAAATAGTGGAAAAAGTAGCTGGGGAAATAAAAAGCACAATGAGGCAATCAACTTGAAAAATCCTGTATATACATAAAGATATGCAAATGATTATGCCCTACTAGTATTCTTCTCTCCGTTTTCCGATATCACAAAACTGACTTCTTTAGATAACGCTATTTCTAGGATGTATACAAATGTATTAATGTATGTATATATACTGAATAAAATGTAAATATTGTGAATACAAAAGAAAAAAAAAGGAAACAGTACAGATGCTGTTATTTGTTTGTTTACTTATTTACTGAATCATCAATTTATTCATTGAAAATTGAATCACGAATCACCTTAACACAGACACTAATTTTATTGACTGATTAAAAATGCCCATTAAAATTTCTTCAAAAGAATGTTTACTGAACATAGAATATTCATCCTTTCGACAACACCTTCTTCATCAAGTTCTACAGTTTTATTTATGTATATATACATATTAGTGAATGAATTATTTTTATCAACAATATTAATGTTGTTCAAAGAACATTGAATCAATGGTGATATCAATGGAATACAGTTCGACAGCATCAACATAATATAACACTACACTGAATATCAGAAAAAAGAGAAAAAATAATAATACAAATTCAAGAATTTATGGTCTCCACTGAAGACCAGGGCGTTAGTAGTCGGTGAACTTGCTTCTTTTGCACACAGAGCACCGGTTGTTTCAGGTGGATCTCGATAGCCTCTGCTGTTTGGAGTAGGTGGTACCTTGATGCTTTAGGCTGTTTGTTAGGGTAGGGAAGGCACATGGACAGGGCATTGTACACATTTTCATAACTTCGTTCATCTCCACTACAAGAAAAGTTTAGTAAGGACCCTAAGCCACAGGGTTAGGGCTATATGCTCAAAAGAGGTATCTGGAGATGGACTAAGGATTGCATATGACACCTTAGTTGAAAATTGCTACCTAGACAAATTCATCAGGAAACACATGACTAAGAAAGTTGAAAAAAACTGTTCACTATCCGTAAACAAGAAGCCTTTGTACATAATACGATGTAGCTGGCGAAATAGTTGTGAAGAAGTTAAGAAAATCAGTTCAAAGAACTTTTAATACTGGGAAAATGCAAGTCTTCTTTTCCACGCAAGTGGGAGTGATTCCTTAATTGAAAGATGAATTACCTAGACTATCCACTTCTAATTATATTTATCAGTTCAACTGCGCTTTTGGAGCAAGTTATACTGGTCAGTGCTGTAGGAACTTGATTTTTACTGCTCCCTCGCAAACATCTCCATGTATGGCTAAATGAAAGTGTAGTAAGAAGCACCGATAGCTTGGTATTGGGACACTTGGTCCAAACTGGCCACGAAGCCAGCATTGAAGAATCCTTCTCCATCATCTAGCGGGTACCAAACAAAGAGCCGAAAGCATCCAGGTACAGCATAATCACAACAGTAGAGGCTATCGGGATCTGCCCAAGACAACCAGTGCTCTGTGTGCAGAAGAAGAAAGTCCAGCCACTACTATCGCCCTTGTCAGCTTTCTGTGGAGACTATAAATTCATGAATTTGTATTATTATTTTTCAAATTTTTCTGACATTCGAAGTATTGTTATGTTGGTTCTATTGATGTTATTATTAATATTATTGATTCGATGTTATTTAAACAACACTAATGTTGTTAATAACACGAATTCATTTGCTGTTATGTGTATATAACCTTAGAACCTAATGAAGAAGGCGTTATCGAAAGAAATATCCATTGTTCAGTAACCATTCTTTTGGAAAATAATCCTTTTGTTCTTATTCTTCTGGTTGTCGTTGTTCTCATTGCTATTCTGCTTGCTTAATCGGATGTGGCTCATTGAGGTTAGAGGCGTAGATAGTTAGGTAAGGAGGGCAAGCTAGCTGATAATGCTGTGAATCTACTCCAGTTAAGATGGCTATGATATGTATTAAACATGCCAAGCCCCCGCTTTCGTCGACCAGCAAAGTTAGGTTACATATGATTAGGTTGGGAAATAAGTTAGGGGTGGTCAAATTAAAGCTTGGAATCAATTCATCATATCTTCGACAGTTGATTTGAGACAGATTCATAATGAAGTGTAGACTGCCTGCCTGAAATTTGAAGGATTCTAAGGATACGGTTCAAATTTGTTCTCAGTGGGTCAGATGTATTTATTCTTTATAATCTCTTAGAGCCACTTAATTCTGAAATTACACCATATTATTCGTCCTTCTTTATGCTGCACATTTGTATGCAAACTCCTAGGCTGAAATTCACTCACTCAGTGTGGCACATTGATCTGTGCCCTTGATCCACCCAACTAGGGAATTAGTTGTTTGAACCCATTCTTCAGTTGCTGAAGTTTAGGCAGACAGATAATGGTATTGTGACGAGGAAGTTAATAATTGCGATTCTGGCTCTTCATCTAATGTGGGGAGTGCGTGACGAAGTAGATTCGCCAGCTTCACCACCAAAAAGGCCACCAGCTATCTTTATCACCTGATGGCTCCACACGCTACCTTCGCCTCATCTCTCAGCAGCGGCCTTAGTATAACCGCCTTCGGGTTTTTGACAATCACCAACTCAGCGACGGCATCAAAGTCCTGTAATGAGCTCTTTATTTCCCTTTCTTCGAAAGGAGGTGACCAGGGGATCTTCATTTTATGTGGGCAGTGACACCAACATGTAACAAGTGAGTGCAAGAGACCTGTTAACGGAGTGTATGTTAGGCATCTGGTGTATACATAGGGAAATTAGGTATACCCTCTATTAAAATCATCATTTACACAGATCCTCGGTGTTGTACTACTTACGTCTGTCTTTATTGTTGCGTTTCTTTCACTTCTTTTCATATCTCCAACGTTCTGCCACAGTAGTGATTCATTTCCTCTCGTTGACTTCAAATTTATTACACTTCTATTTGATATTTTCGTACTGATGAACGTCTCTTCATATACTACTGATAAACATTGCCAGTAACACACGCCACAGTATCACTTACTTCAACACACAATATATATGATCTATTAGGATGGATATATGCAAGTGGTTGACAAGGGTAACATTTCATGTACTCTTGCGATTTGTTCATAACTATGATTTGAATAAAGAAACAGAAGAAAAATTCACATAAGGAGAATAATATCAAAAGATAATTTAATCGGTTGGGTTATGACGTACTTTCTTTTTGATTGGACACTAGTAACTAGTTCTTTGTTTAGTGCAGATTGAATTCTATCAGTCAGCTTTGTACTGTGGCCACCATTCTATGTAGCTTGCCACCACGATGCACATTAATTTGGTGATATTAGATGGTTGGAGACAATCGGCAGGAAGCGTGACTTAACCTAGGTTTTGTGGTAGTTGGCACTCGTCAGCGAGGCGTATCTGCAACCAGCTTGAAGGAACTCATGTCCATTTGGAGATTCGAACCCGCGTCACGTAGTGCTGCCTGCAGTGAGAGACGTTACGACTGAGCTATTCGGACTTGCGACTGACATTAGAAGTGACGTGAGTTCCTTAAGGGTAGCAGATACGCCTTGCTGACTGGTGAGTGCCAACTACCACGAAACGTAGGTCAGGTAAGGCTTCCTGACGATCGTCTCCAACCATCTAATATCATCAAAAAGTTTCTCTATTATGAAAATATTAGGAGAGACAGTAAATGCGTGAAAAAAAACGTGGATATTATGTCGTTAGAATGTAATTCTATGTTCATATATTCGTAAGATATATATGACACACACTGAAGCAGCATTATTTACTGGATGACTAGGTTTCGAACACAATGTACTTTACATCATGATGTCGTCAATTGTTACTGCACAACTTCTAAATTTGGTCTTTATACTCCTCTTTTTTCTTTTGCACTTATTGCAACGGTAGTACAATTTTCCAGATGTCCGACAAGGGCACTAAGTTATTCCTGTTTCGAGTATTCCCATTTGATTTGACAAATAAAGCTTCAGTTCTGAATCTGTCTCTCCATCCTGTTATATTAGATTTTAAAACTTACATAACTGTGTATGGGCACATGTAATGCAACAGCTGATCTTTTCTCTAGATTCCTTACCAGATTTTATTAAGATTTTGTCCTCTGTTAGTCAAATTCGTCGGTGCCTACCGACGACACCTATGCATTTCACCTTTTAATCATTGCATGATATTAGATAAACTAAATTATTTCGCCTAATGAGCTCCACAAGATCCGCAGCCGAATCAGCTTGTTTCTAAGTGAGTTGGATGCTGCTTTTCTTCCCGCCTTCTTAAAAATCCTACTTGAAGATTCAGTGGTGTTTTAAGTCTCCTGTTCTTAGCGTGTTTTACTTTTCTGTATTCGTTTGTCATTCACATCGTCATTACTATTTAAATTCTTAAAATTTTCCATATACTTTCTCATCCATTTGTTAGAGTAATTATTAAATGTTAAGGCCACTATCGAATGCTTTACTTCCAGCCATTGGGTTTTTCTCTAGTGCACACTGTTGATTCGGTGTGTTGGATAAACCTACTTATTTCATTTTTTGATTGAACACTAGTCAGTGACTAGTGCGATGTGTCTAGTGCTATATTTGGTGCAAACTGAATTCTATCAGTCAAGTTTGCAATGTGACTGCCATGCCACTGGGTGGCCCACCATCATGGTGCACTGTGAATTGTCGGTATTAGATGGTTGGAGGCAATCGGCAGGAAGCCTTGCTTCACCTAGGTTTCCTGCTGGTTGGCACTGATAAGTCAGCAAGGCGTATCTGCAACCAGCTTGAAGGAATTCATGTCCATTCTGAGATTCGAACCTGCGTCACTCAGTGCAGCCTGCAGGCAGAGATGTTACCACTGAGCTATTCGGGCTCGCGACTCTCCTCCTATAGGACTGTGTTTGCTACTTTTAATTGGATGCTAGTCACTGACTAGTGTCACGAACATACTTTCAAGGTGGAACTAAAGGATCCGACACCTG